AACTTTTATAAACATCCATTTGGTCGTTAACTTTTAAATGCATCCTTATGCATAAAATATGAGCAGAGTTCTCGGCATGAAAGACCCGCGACTGGCAGATCAATGTGCTACTTCTTTTCTCTCCAATGCGGTAGGAAGTTAAATGTAATGCAGTGTGGAGGATGTTAACTGTGACAAGATGATTGACAGACCAGTTCCCTCTCATAGGCTCACTTCGATGCTGCGATAACGTCATCGCTTTGGGAACATCTTCGGTGTGCCGAATGTCTGAAGCTTGTCGACACTGTGATAGCCTACGACTAAAAGCATTGCGCTCGAGGTTCGCGGCCTTCTCGAATAAAGTAGGCCTCGCGTCTAACCCCCGCTATCCCGTTTCTGCGGTTGCCGAGGCACCACATGAGACGTTCGCTTGGGGTGACGCATGCGAGCCGAGGTTCTTAGAGGGTTAGTCAACAGAGTTCTCTCCTTTTCTCTCGCTCTCTCCAGGCCATGTGCAAGCGCTCGAAGAGCGCTACGGGGATCCCGTGGTCTTTGTCAATGATAATTTGCGTCCTACCCCGGAAGCTTGTGATGCGATGCCCCGGAAGCTCGCGATGCGATGTCTTTCAGTTGTATACCGTATGACGAAGACGTGCTGTCCACAGCGGCCTCCGATTCGGAGGATTTATTGGGTGAAGTGTGCAGTTCTCTCCCTCCGAGTGGACAGGAGAAACGCACCTACCCGTCTTACAGCGAACTGTTAGTCGTTGTAACGCGCGCTGTCGAAACTGGACGACCGATTTTTATCTACCCGTCTCAGCCCCATAGGCCTCTCCCCTTCTTCCAAGACCTCCACCACGAGGTTTCGAGGTCTTGGAAACAACCTTTTTCGGCATGTTTCACTAATCCCGCTGCCGCTGATTTCGCCACGGTTTCTAAAATGGCGGATCACGGCTATGCGGCAATGCCGTCCGTAGAGGAGACTCTCGCAGCACATCTTGCGCCGAATTCTGCTCCGTCTTGGAAGTCACGCCCTCTGTTGCCGTCCAAGCCATGTAGGATTACGTCCACTTTAATAGGAAAATCTTATATGGCTGCTGGGCAGGCCGCGGCTACACTCCATTCTATGGGTGTACTCCAGGCATCAGTAGGCGTATCCACATTTTTGACAGGTAGTTTAGATATGCATACATGTGAAGAGAGAGATATTTTAATGTTTACCTGAAGGGTATTTTGTGATTTCTGGGTCTTCATTACCTTGACTAAGGCATTGAGCCAACCATCCACATCATCACTGAAAACACCAGAAAACCTTTAACACTAGTGAAAAACTGCATCAGGTGTTTTAAAATGAAAATAGTAAAATAAAAGATTTCTAGAAATATATTGAATATATAACTAACTATAGAAGCAGAATTAAGCTACTGCTTAAAGACTCAAAAAATGAAAATCAGTATTTAATTTTATGTTATTTACAGCTGAGTGTGATTCAACTCAATTCAAGTTTATTTGTACAGCGCTTTTCACGATACAAATCATTGCAAAGCAACTTTACAGCAAATTAAGTTTCTACAATATTTAGTGGTAGCTTATCAGTGGTGACTGTCAGTCAATGTACATATGGCAGAAACGTATGGAAAAATCAATTAAAGACGTAAGTGTGATGAGATGAACTGCAAAAGTTAATTGTAAAATTTAATTATTTTATTATTCTTACCATGCCTTTTTTTATTCCCCCCTTGATCTAATGTATCTCTTTATTTACTTTACATTTATTTTCTGTTTTGTCTTTTTTAATATTTGAATATTATTTATGCTTTGGCAATATACTAAATGCTTAGTCATGCCGATAAAGCTTTGTTGACTGACTCTGAAGGCTCAGTTTTAAATGTGTATATTCACTACTGTATAAGCTACACTACTAATATATACATGGCTTCAGAACTAATAGACATGGACTAAAAGCCACAAAACTTTCATTTAGATTTCATCGAGGCTTTAAATATTGGTTTTTGTTTGTTTGTTTTTTGCCTGTATCATACTGGCTTTCATGGAGCTATATAGTGATAGCAATGAGAAATATGGTCTAAATGATGGTGGCAAACCTGTTTTCTCCAAGTAGGAAATAGTCTCTAGAGTGTTTTGGTGTGTCGTCTTCCACCTTCAAGAACAGCACAGAGGACGGAGAACACTTGAAGTTTTTCTGGATCCAGTCCCACTTCTGATGTGCTTCGGGGCCAATACGCAGCAGGCTGATCCTTTAAAACAGAAAGACGTTCTCATTATAGAGTGAAAATACTTCATTTATTTATGACTTTGACAGTCTTTTCCTTACTTAGAAAGGTCTATCTCTTTTGTTTCGTTGTTTGCATGATATGTCAGCTGGTAGTCTTCACCCGTTTTGGAGAGCACAAAGAAACGACGCTTCCATGATTTCTGTGACAAATATATAAAACTGCTAAGTTTCACAAACAGAGGACCTGTCTTTGACAGACTGCAGATATTTCAGTTTCAGGATGAAATGCAATACAAGACGTACAATGCTTTTAGTTAGGGCTGGTTGAGCGGGGGACTTGAGCAGGTATCCAGTGTACAGTTCCTCCACTATCGCTGGTTCACTGTAAAATGTTGAAGTTGCTGCTGCAAAAACATAATTAAAACAACATTAAACGTATTGATGCTGCTCAGTTTAATTTGAGTTTTTAAATTGTCTTCCTTGATTATCTCATTTTTTTGCAAGAGATTTTTAAGACTTACTTGGTTTCTTTTTGTTGGACATCCTGATGTTGTTGCTTTAATTCTAAAATAGATGTGAAATGTTTTAAGTTAGTTTACTCTAAGTCACTGGAATATATCTGATAAACAGAAGTAAACTACAGTGATTTATATACAGTATATTAAAAAATGCAATGTCAGCACAAGAAAATGCAATGGACATTAACCCTCCACCATATTTCAAATATATGTTATATAATAACATTGCATGATGTCTTTATGAATGTTTTAAACTCAGATTTCTTCACATGCTACAAGCCTCACCAAGCAGAATCATCAATATTCTATAATATTATTGCTTTACCTTGTGTCACGGTAAAAATAATGTCCTCTGAAAAGTTATTCAACTCTCACAAGGTGTATGTTTTGATGGCAATTTAGGAGGAAGCTAAAGGTCCTTTGTCTCCTTCAGAGTGTTATGCTGGTAAAAGGAGGAGTTTCTGGTTATATGTGAGCTCAGGTTTGATCCCTCCCCTTTGATTGTTTCTGTTCATGGCATTGTGGTAAAGTCGATACTACAACAATAAATGTAGCTTCTGAAGCACATGCACTAAGTGGTGACTGAAACATGTATATACACTCATAGTCTTATACTGAACACATAATAATGCAAATAACATCAGAGACTACAGACTACGTTGGTATATTTTGCACGGAGGATATCAAACAGACTACAGACTACACCAGCACCTACAGACTACCTCGGCATACTTTGCACACACACATACATCTTTTCATTTGCAAGTACATGGACTCAATCTACCTCTACTGGTCTTTGCACATGCATGTCTTCCTTGTTTACATTGCATCTGTGCACTTTGTACATGCAACACTTTTGTTTCTTGCAACTTTCTTAGTAATCTTGTAATTGTGTAATTGTTTAATTTATGTATTGCGTTTTATTCTTATGTCCTTAACTTATGTGAGAGGCAGCTGAGAGGATTCACAGAGTAAGAATTTAATTGTATGGTGTAACACATTATGGTTGTGTGGACTGTTTCCTGTACATAATAAACTCTTGAATCTTGAAATCTCCCCATTTATTGGATTATAGTTATTTATGCAGTTACTTACAAGCTCTTGGTTCCGCTTAGGAATGCAAGAGGTGACTTAATAAGTTACCATGCCAAAAAATAATTATTTCTTTCCCTATGTGCTGCTGGGGATTGTTGGGGGAAATCCTGATTGATTTCAGTAAATAGTCTAATAATAATTGTCTTTACTTTTTCCTGGATTTTTTTTCCAAGTGTAACATGCTCTTGGCAGGGTGAGGTGGGGTTGGGAGTGTTCAGGTGGTTTTATCACTTATGTTATTTAAATAAATGTATGGCAGTCTAAGTAAAAACAGTGCATGTAACATAAATATAAATATATAAATAAAATGCCATGACATTTGTAAGTATTTGAATGAACTTTAACTAATGATCTAATATGTGCAATAATAAGATAATAATTTTAATGAAAGTAAAACATAAAAAGAAATCTAGATTTTTATTAGGAGTCCTGGTTAGGGTCCCTGAGCATGTGATATTGATCTTCCCTTCTAAATGGTGTCATTGAGGAGTTGTGAACAGTGTGATAACGCTCTCTCTGACAAAACCATTGATTAGTGACAGTGTATATAATGGGTGTGCGGGAATGTATTTCATTGTTGCACTTTCTTGTTCCTGGCCTAAAAATAAATAAAAACTTCCGAACTGGCACTAATTGATCTAATCTGTGCTTTGTACAGAAGGCACAGATACAGATAAATTCTACAGATTTGAGAACAAATTATACATACATATTGGAAGCAAAGATTTGAATGAAAAGAAACCTTTATAATCAAAATGCTACATATCATATAAAATACACAAAGAAAAGTAATACTTAATTTGTTTGTGGAATAAACAAAAATAAATAAATAAATAAAAACAGACATTTTAGGATATCAAGATAATAAAATGCCATGACATTTGTAAGTATTTGAATGAACTTTAACTAATGATCTAATATGTGCAATAATAAGATAATAATTTTAATGAAAGTAAAACATAAAAAGAAATCTAGATTTTTATTAGGAGTCCTGGTTAGGGTCCCTGAGCATGTGATATTGATCTTCCCTTCTAAATGGTGTCATTGAGGAGTTGTGAACAGTGTGATAACGCTCTCTCTGACAAAACCATTGATTAGTGACAGTGTATATAATGGGTGTGCGGGAATGTATTTCATTGTTGCACTTTCTTGTTCCTGGCCTAAAAATAAATAAAAACTTCCGAACTGGCACTAATTGATCTAATCTGTGCTTTGTACAGAAGGCACAGATACAGATAAATTCTACAGATTTGAGAACAAATTATACATACATATTGGAAGCAAAGATTTTAATGAAAAGAAACCGTTATAATCAAAATGCTACATATCATATAAAATACACAAAGAAAAGTAATACTTAATTTATTTGTGGAATAAACAAAAATAAATAAATAAAAACAGACATTTTAGGATATCAAGATATATAAGATGTCAGTGAGTTTTTGGGACTCTTTGCTAGAGAACATACACTGGAAGTCAATAAAACTGATACCAGAAATCTTTTATTAAAAGACAAAATGACATTGAATGAACATACAATATATTTTAATATTTGATTAAAACATACAGTCTATTTTAATCAAATGTGCACATTAAAACAGATAATATAGTTACATTTTATTTTATTTATTTTTCACATTAAAGAAGTTCATAAGAACATACATTTGTTTCAAATGTAATTTTTAAATGTATATTAAGTACATATTTACATATGCCACAAAATTCTCTGTAATGTTCTGGTCCCTTTGAAAATGAGCTTGTTCTGAAATTATTGTCTTGTGGTCATTTGCTTTAATCAGTATATGTATTTTTTGTAAATGATGTGAATTTTGCTATCGATAAATTAATCCAACTTTAGCAGTTCATCTCATTATGACTTTCAACTGAGGTGTCCAATGTAGTGTTATTGTGAAAACATTCATCGTTTTGCTTTGCTTTAGTGCAAGTCAGTGAAACAAACTGTGTGATTTAGCATATAAAGAATCCTGTTCAACTTTACATTTATTTGGAAATTAATTCAACATATTACCAGAGCTGTAAAAATAAAACAACAAAACAAATATACATTCAATTCAGTCTTGTTTCAAGGCTGTTGGTCTGTTGTGGCAGTTAGCGCTCAGCTGGAGTTGAGGATGAAGCCTGAGTTGATATTCATTCTGACAATTCATCTGTGTCGTCATCTTCATGATTTATTTCTGTTATTTCCGTCTCCCATAATCAAAAAGAGAGTGAAAATATTAGTAAAGTATGTTTATGTTTTTAAGTGTATACTTCCTCTTGTGTTGTTTGCATGTATCTACCTTACTCTTCAGTTTTATCGGAGAAACATAGATGGGCTCATGGGTCACAGATGATGGCAGCTCATGTGTAACATATTTTGTTTGATTCCACTCAGTTTTCTGTCATTGGCACAATATTGATGATGGTATTATTTTCTTGTCTTATTATTGCGCAGTTACAAACGAAGTCCAATAATAACAAAAGTATGTCAAAGGGATCGAACTGGTTTTGTTACAATAACTCTTACAGTAAAGGGTTGAATGAACCCTATTACAATAACAACAAGCAATGATTCTAAAACTAGCAAACCTGTTTTTTTCTCTCTTTCCAGACAATAGGCAGATTGTTTTTATTTTGTTTGATATAATCAGTAAAGGTTGCAAAAAGGTTAATGGAGCATTTATAAGAGCTGATTATTGTTTTAAATCACAGTTAAATGGGACTAAACTGTGTCAATCTCTTTTGGTGATAAAAAAAAATATATTCTCAAAAATAGTTGGGAAACTTTGCATTGGCCAATAAATAAAGTACAAAAGGCGGGCATCGTTAAAGTTCATAAAACCTGTAATACCAGTAGGCAACACAAACCAGACCTATTTTTAGCAGCCGGTTCCAAGTGCTAGCGTACCTTCTTATTGTCATTTTCGGATTGCGGAGGTTCATCGATGTGTCTCTTTGACCCAAATGTCTGTGTGACACATGTTTAATTCAGATGATTCAGCTTAAAGAAATTATTTGTATAAAATGCACATTTGTGCACGAAATGCATGAGACACATTTCCAAGTCAAAAATGTCAAAACATTACCTTGGGATCCAACAGTCTGTGTGGACGATTGTTTAAGATGTCAAATAAAGCAGCGAACCATTTGTCCATCTCCCAACTGCACAAATATGTTACATTGCATCTTTCCGAGACTATTTAAATGTATACTTGAATCATATCTTGACTATTCAGCTTTTTAAAAAACAAATGTTTTAAAAAAAAAAGTCTGTAATTCATTTTCTCATTTATATTTAGAATGCATGCATATTTCTAAAATATTTCCACTCAATTTATGCCGTGAAAAAGAACAACAAAAAAATCATTGCCCTAAACCAGGCGAACACATGGACAAACCTGTTTTCTCCTATAAGGAAGTAGTCTCTTTCTGGTACTTTAATAAACATCACACATGACAAAGAACATCTGAAATTGTTTTGAATCCATTTCCACATAGCATGCATCTCGGGGGACAAGAACATGTATGTGACCCTAAAGGACAGACAGAAAAACAGATGATTTCTAGTCTCACTGTGCAATACTTATTATAGAAGGAAAGTTTGTCTAGACAAACTGTGATGTTGAATAGATAAGACAGATTGTTGCTAAGGTACAGTGGGAGGCTGCTTGACAGTTGACAGATTTTTGGGGTTTAATGATATCATACAGGAAGTCAATAAGTGCAATTATTGGACATACTTAGACAAGTCAATGTCTCCCAGTGGTTTGTTCTTCTCTTCCTTTTTGTAGTACTTAAGTTGGCATATGTTGTCTCTGTACTTTAGAAGAACAAAAAACCTCCTTTTCCATGATTTCTGCAAAAAAGGAAAGGAAACAAATACATGATGAGAGAAATTAGCAAAGTGAGTCTCACTGATGTACTGATATAATCACCCGTTCTTCTCTTCCAGAGAAACATACCTGGGACTTGAATTGATTCTCCGGGGGAGATTTGTAAAGATATCCCGAACACATTTGTTCCTCGGCTCCATGTATGTAAAATGCATAGCTATTATCTGCAGAGACAAAGAATCTATTCAAAACGAAGCCACATGTTAAGTTTAAGAACATCGTAAGATCACAGTGCTTTGAAGAACACACCTGCCATTTTTCAGTTGTGGCGAGTAATGGAATGCTGTCGGTGTGAGTCTGAGAACAGAATAAGCTGTTGTTACTTCAGCATATTCAGCGGAATGAATGATTTCAAGTGCCAAAGTCTTGAAACGCAAGGCGCTCTGGGTACACATAGTGTGATCTGTGTTTGAACATGATGTACACTTG